AATTCTTCCACCGCGGATTGAAGTTAATATGCAGGTGTTTCAGCTGAAACTGTGCAGTTGCTCTTATAGCCATTCCTTCTCTTCAAATAAATACAGTTTTATGAATTCTGCCTATTTAGGTTAACTCTTTGTGTGTTAAGTAACAACAATAACAACAAAAATCTAAAGCTAATGAGATTGGAGGAAAGCATTCCAGAGTTCACCAGATTGAGTTAGAGGACAATTGGACTCCTGTCTCCTGAGTATTGGAGTGGACTGCATTGCCCTGGAAGGTCCGATAGTCACTGCTGCCTTTTATGGAAGGTTCCAGGGATGCAAAGACCTTTTTCTGGACTTACTCTTTTTACTGAAAGGCGGTTCGTGTATTTCAAGACAATAATGTCGGTTTCTGATTCGTGTTGCTCATTAACAAAGCACCCACAGGGAGTTTCGTGTAAGAGGTCTGAACTCCTCCTCGCTCCCCCAACTCTTACCTTGACTGAGTTGATTATTTGAGCTAGGAGAGCAGACTTCACATATAAAGCCCATGTTGCTTCTCTTGTTTTTAAAGATTTGATACAAGAATCAGAACGTTTAACTCAGTATGCGCTTCTAAGACTGATTGTGCAGCACACTACTTTCTATTCTGATTTACCACTATCAGCAGGTAGAAACATCTGGAACTTTGCTGTAGTTTCTCCATTGAACTGGCAGCTAAGTTCACTCAGTCTTGGGTCCACTGTGCCTTAAAAAAATTGTAAAAATTCAATTTTTAATTTCATGGCACTTTAAAAGTTCCTTCACTCTTCAAAGAATAAATAATATTCAGTATAAAAATTTCTTCCATTTTTATGTCTTGCTTTATGTTACCCAAAGCACTGTCAGTTGTGCATGAATTCCTTAAACTAATGCAAGAAGCAGACGGAATAAATTCTTCCATTCTAGGAGGCTGAGGCAGTGGAATTGGAGTAAAGTACTGAGCAGTTATTAGAACTCAGATGTTCTGAGCAGTTGCTTCATGGGTACACTACGCGTTTTCTGGCATTTGAATTCTTGGAAACTTGAGTTCATTGTTTAATTGATATGGTAGCTTTGTGTTAATACAACAATGTCTTATTTCTAGACAACGCCAGACAATAAGATAATATAGTAAATTCTTTTGGAGTGGGGAGAAACACATATTCATAAAACATTTAGTTATTTTGTTTGGTTAATGTTTTGTTTTCATTACTAGGATAATTGCTTTAACCTGTTTTTCTGGTTCTAGAGAGCTGGCTTTGATAATTAGCTATAAATAGTTCGTAGTGTGTTGTGGCATATTGTCTGATGGGTTTTATGATATTAAAGCTTAAAATACCTGTTCTAAGAATTGGAGCCAAATTGTTTTAGCACATTTATTTTTCACTCAGTTGGGGTCTCCTAGAACCCCCTGCTAGGTTGGAATGTATAAGGCCTATGTGTTGTTGTCCTTGCCCTTAATCCTATAGGACTCTGTAGCTATTTTTTGGTTGTTGGTTTTTGGTTTTTTTGTGTGTGGTTTTTTTTTAAAGGATGCTTAGACTGACCTTCACTCATGTGAACATCTGTGAATATTTGCAGTGGGCGGCCCTGGAAAGCATGGTGGGTTTGTCTCTTTCCGGGGCTAACTCTATGCTGGAGAGTTTAGACACTGCACAGTCTCACTGGACTTCACCTTACTTATGGCTGAGACTTGTGAGTGAACGAGCCCTCCAGCTCCTTTTCCATTGCTCATATTCTGGTACTGGGGAATATCAAGATTTTATTCTCTTACGACTTCTGAGTTCTGAGTACCAAGTCTGAGGACTTGAGCTATGCATGGTTTCTGAACATTGTCCAGTAGTGGATTCAGGATGGCTTTTCAGGCCGGAGGTGCTGATGGTAGTTTTTTGAGCTCAGCCTAACCTACACAGTCTTCTGGGTCTAGATGTGGAAACACTTCTCAGAAATGCTGCAGTGTCTTTGATTCTGTTCTGAAGTGAGTGTGTGGGACCTGGAGGAAGTGATTCTCTCACCTCTCCTCCCACGGCCGGGCTTGGGGTCTTAGTTAAGTCCTGCCCATGAGCCATGGCCTTTGACATTCCGAGTACCTGCCAAGCACTTACTTCCAGAGAAATGACCTTTTTCCCTTTTATGCGATTTTGGCATCATCTGCACGAAAATAGCATCTATACCTTTATTTTCAAGCTGCAAAGCTTGCTTGAAAAACAAAGGTTTGCTTTCTCGTGAAATCTGGAAGGCTCTTTGAACTCATGTGGTGGAACAGTTGGGCTTTTGGAAGGGGCAGCCTCAGTCCGTATTCACGAGACATCACCGCAGGCCTAGTCGGGTGTCAGGAAGAAAGCAGGATGTTACCAGAAGAACAAGACAGATTTCTTGGAGTAATGAATAGCTTTCATTTCTTCTCCCTGATGGGAGCCTCCTGGCAGGAGCAGCCCGCAGGAAGCTGGGTAAGGCTGTACTTGATTCTGTTTTCCAGAGGAAACTGAGGCTCGGCAGGGTTCGAGGGCTCCATCAAGGAGGGAGATGGCCGAGTTGGGTCTCAGCTGCTGGCTCCCCATCTCAAATGGCTGACACACATTGTAGCACTGGGCACACAAGCCAGTTCCCGGGCATCGTTGCAAACACTGGTGGTGTCGGGATGCAGGGAGGAGACAGGGCTGGGAACCATCTGCAGGACTGAGGGAGGACGTGGCACTTGCTGGAGAGGAGATGGGAGAGTGCCAGCGTGGCTCTTAGAGAGCCGACTCTGTGTTGGCCGAGTTATTGGTGGGAGCCACTGGCCTATCTCACTGTGTCTTCGGAGTAACTCTCGCTGTCAGCAACTGCCTGCTGGATGAGTTCTGTATGGTTAGCGTTCCTTCATGTGTGTGTGTGTGTGTGACACAGAGAGAGTGAGTCTGATGAGAGTCCCATATCATCTCTGACCATGTGCTGTTTTCCTGTAGTAAAGATGGTGAGGTCTTAAGAGGAGATTATCTGACAGTTTGCTCAGCAGAGAGGAGTGAAATAACACGTTGGCATTGGTCTGGTCTCTGTGGTTCTGAGGGGTTTCCCCTCCTGGCAGACTTAGACTTCCCACATTGGTCAGGGGAAGCAAGGAACCCACCTGAGAAGCCTGTTCATTCCTTTGGGCCTGAACATCCCACCAGGAGTCTCTCTTTTGAGCTCTCATAGCCGCTTCAAGGTGGGCAGGGTTCCCTGGGCTGATCCGCTGAGGAGTGTTTAGGGCAAGACCCAGGGTGTGATGCCAGAAGATCTCCTCTCCCGCAGGACCGTCTGGCTGGACTTCCATTTGGCTCGTGTCCTCTGGCCACTGGGTGGTCCTAGTGATGACTCAAGCTCCTCTAGGGTGCCTGTCAAATGGCCAGAGTCCACTCCGGTTTCATATTTCTGAAGAACACCCACCTTATCATGTTCCTTGACCATCCAGATTGTTCTGAAGTAGTTTTCAGTATCAGTGGCATTTCAGTAGATTTTGTGTTCTCTTCCACCATCTACATGTTGACAGATGTGAGGGACATTTCTTGAGATATGAGCAGATGTTGAGTGAACCCCTGCATTGTGAGTTATGTGGGTGCAGAAAGACATGTTACAGAAAGCACTGGAACAGCAGCATACACAGAAGGAAAAACACCCAACCTTTTTGCAAAGTCTGGGTTAGCTTGAACTTTATTGCCATTTCACTGGTTGTTATTTGATGGGGAAATTAGGAATGGACATCTGTCCATCTTCATTCCACAATCAGATTTGGGGTTCGGTAGAGCGGAGCCTGGGTCTCATTTGTGCCAGTACCTCCCAGTTTGCTGACGGGAGTCACTGGGGAGGTGGCCAGGAGGGCAGACTTAGTGACATCCATTTGAGAAATCCTGCTACCTAATTTTCCTCCTGGAGGATTTTCTAGAGCTTCTAATACACTAATACATGCTGCCCTCTCTAGAAGATGCTCTAGTATGCAGTTCCTCAGACTTAATTCGGATTTTTTATTTTTTGAAAAGAGCATTTTATCAGATGATTATTCTACAAGGCATATGTGGGAAATACTGCCAGTACTGGTTACTAGCCATGAACCCTACGGATCCGTCCAGGTGTTTTTGTAGTTAATACAACATTCACCTTGTGAGAGAAAGAAGTTAAGCTCACTCTTATGGTATTTTCACGGTGAGAGTAGACAGTAGCTCTTGGATAGGATAGAAGAATTGAGAAAGGAGAAAAAGGATGTGGGATCAGCAGACTCCTCTCAGTGCTGGATTTAGGTATGGTTTTTAAAGCACTGACAACAGCCCTGTGAGGGGGTATTTGACTCTGTTCCTTTCACAGATGGGTAAGCTACAGCTCACCGGGGGGTTACCTGTGGGAGATCTTGAGTCCGATTACGGTCTGGCTTCTGCTGATGACATATTTCACTAACCATGGTGATCTGTTATAGAACTGGGTCTTTGTTCTTAACTTTTCTTGTTTTAAATTATAAGTGTTGCAAAAGTTGTACATGTTTATTAAAGAAAAACAGGTGGGACGAGAGTAGAAAATGCTCCGCATGGAAGAAAAAGGGATTCATTGGTATTTTTGCATGTTGTTGGACCAGATGGTCCTGAGGCTCAACGTTTCTGTGATTCTGTCCTATATCTGTTAGGTTGCTGTGTTTTATGTACACGTGAAAACATTTCTCCACCAGCTAGAATGGTAAATGAGGCAGATTTGCTGCCTGATTTCAGGTTATCTCAGTGAGCAAGTGATCGTGGAGGGAACCCCTGAGCCATCCAAAGTCCTTTTGCGTTATTGCTTAGGCAACACGCCTTTGGAGAGGCTGTGATACGGTCGTTCGGGGTGTCCTCTGCTGCTCCTGCCGGGGAGCCCGCAGTCCCTCGGGCCAGTGGGTGGGGGGACAGACGTGGCCTCCGCAGGGACTGGGTCTGCGTCCTCCCAACGCGCGCGCTCTGGGCCATGCGCCCTGCGGGGACTTGCATGCAGCCCCCTCCTGACTGTGTCTCTTGCCTCTGCAGAAGGAAGACGGCCGGGGCACCATGAGGTGAGCGCGCCGGCACCGAGAGCCCCCGAGAGCGGTGTGCGGGCTGCGGGAGCGAGAGCGGCCCCGCACGTCTGGCCACGCACGTCCCCGGCATGAGGCCGGGCAGCATGGGCGCGCCGCCGCGGGACCGCTGACCCCCGCCCGCCGGGACCATGAAGGAGGTGGCGTACTGGTCCCCCAAGAAGGTGGCAGACTGGCTGCTGGAGCACGCCATGCCCGAGTACTGTGAGCCCCTGGAGCACTTCACGGGCCGGGACCTGATCGGCCTGACCCGGGAGGACTTCACGCGGCCACCCCTGTGCCGCGTGTCAGCCGACAGCGGGCAGCGGCTCCTGGACATGATCGAGACCCTGAAGGTGGAGCAGCACATGGAGGCGCACAAGAACGGCCACGCCAACGGGCACCTGGGCGCAGGTGCGGCCGGCCCCGGCCTCCAGGCCAAGCCCAACGGGGTGCCCAACGGCTATAGGAAGGAGATGATCAAGATCCCCATGCCGGAGCCGGAGCGCTCCCAGTACCCCATGGAGTGGGGCAAGACGTGCCTGGCCTTCCTGTATGCGCTGGCCTGCTTCGTCCTCACCACAGTGATGATCTCGGTCGTCCACGAGCGAGTGCCTCCCAAGGAGGTGCAGCCCCCGCTGCCGGACACGTTCTTCGACCATTTTAACCGGGTGCAGTGGGCCTTTTCTATCTGTGAAATTAACGGCATGATCCTTGTAGGCCTCTGGCTAATTCAGTGGCTGCTCTTAAAATACAAGTAAGTAAAGCGACAGCTGTGGGACTGCGGGCCCGGGGGGCGGGGGGATCTGCCTTGCAGACGTCTGGTAGTCATTGTTGTGAAGTGAACGTTTTCAAGCAGTAGGAATCAAAGCATACTAGCTCCTTTTTTAATTCTGATTTTATTATTTTAAACTGTGTGCCCTGTTGAGCCAGCGAGAGCTCTGGCAGTTGTAAGTAAGAAAATGCTGTGTTTACTGCCTTTTTGGTACAGGATTCCTACAGAGCAGTGACTGGGGCTCTGGAGATGATGTTCTTCCGTTTTTACGGGGAGGAAAACCCTCATGGAGCACAGGCTATTGAATCACAGATAAAGTACCCAAACTCGGGGTCATTAACCCGCCAAATAAATTGTGAACAGTTGGCCTGGTGGCCATGTGGCTGTCCCCACGCAGGCTCAGACAGTGGGCCCCTCGGCAGGGCGTATTTAAAGCTGTCTCACACACACAACGCAGAACAGCGGTTCCAGAGTGCCGGGGGCCCTCAAGAAACGACTTTGTTTAGGCCCATGGAGTGCGGACAAACCTGCATGGCTTTCTGCCTTCTAGAACGTGCGCCACTTAAAAGAACATGTGGCTGTTGCATTGCGGTTTCTTAGGCTTTTAAACGGGCACATTTTAGTTTCAGGTAGATCCACTTTTTTTTTTATTATAACTGATTACTTTAACCTTTATTTCTTAATCAAACACATTAGTCCGGTAGTTCCAGGATACAAAATTAACCAGTTCTGAAGTGGTTAATGATAGCAGCACACAGACCAGTCCTTTCTTGGGGAAATGGTCCCCTCCCTGATGCCTCTTTCACAAGCCGCGTGGCTCTGTCCAAGGACAGTGGGACATGCCCCACGTTCTGCTTGCTCTTAAAACCAGCCTGGTTGTCAAGCAGGGGCTGTTGCCTGGCATTTGCTAAGCCTCCAGCCTTGAACGAGTCTCTCTGGTAGGACCCAACCAGGCCGAAGCTATGTCGCAAGCTCTGAACTCCACGCAGACCCCCTCCGGCAATCTCTGTGTTGGGTTGCTTGGGGCCGACTAAGCACCAACATTGTTCTCCTCCTCGGTGTCTGCTTTTCCCCGTCAGTGCACTGCTGCTGTGGCTTCCGTGCATGGGAGCTGGTGTGTTGAGAAGCTGCACTTGTGTCCAGTGGACTGTGTTTCACGACCCACAGTACGGTCGAATGTTAAGGAAATCCTCTTAAATCAAGAAAACAAACTGCAGACTGAGAGTCTGCACCGAACTTTATCCAAGAAAACGATGAGTTTTTTCCTGGAATGTGTTTGCACCTTGAAAATTGGATATCCACAAGTGGAAATGAGCACAGCGCCTGACTGGGCACTGAGAAGGGACTGTCAGCCTTTGTAAAGGAAGTTAAGTGAATGGTATTTATTTTGGGGTTGTCTTGTCTTGGTAGTGCCACGGTAAAGCCAAGTTTAAAACAGAAACCATGGTCTAGGCTGTGTTGATTGGATAGAAGACTTTTTGGTGGTTTGTTCACTTAGTTTTAACAGGCTCACTAGGTAGGATAGTGTTGAAATGTGAGGTGCTCAGAATTTACTAAATTACATTCTTTCAGCCACCAAACTTCAGATCTGCTTTTGTTTTCAAACTTTTGTTTCTCCCCCTGAAAGCCCTTTAGAAAAAAATGCCAGTATGTTTTGCTTTACAAAGGCAGGGTCAATTCAAATTATGTTTCCTGGGTTTTTCCCTGATTTTTGTTGTTTTGTGTATTACGAGTTTGTTTTCTCTTTTTTCCGTAAAAATTTGGACATGCAAGAGAATAATTTACTGCTCTAGAATAAAACATTATCTGTCAGTCATACTGTGCAAATTCAGATGTATCACAGAACTGTGACTTTTATCTTATTTTACTTTTTTTAGAACTGTGACTTTTAAATAACATCTTGTTCTAGGAAGTGTCCTCACAATAGGGCTTGCTCTTTTTTTTTTTTTTAAGATTTATTTATTTATTTGACAGAGAGAAAGAGAGATCACAAGTAGACAGAGCAGCAGGCAGAGAGAGGGGGAAGCAGGCTCCCCGTTGAGCAGCGAGCCTGATGTGGGGCTCGATCCCAGCACCCTGAGATCATGACCTGAACTGAAGGCGGAGGCTTAACCCACTGAGCCATCCAGGAGCCCCGGCTTGCTTCTTTTAAGCAGATTACTCTTTGTTTCTCTCAGCTGGGACTTCTCCTCAGATCAGTAGTGATTTCATGTTTTACTGGTATTAACAGCCAGTGCCATAGTCATTTGGGCATTGAAATGACGCAGCGTGTTAAGCTGTGAATCCGTTGGTTCACACCTTGGGCTGAATCAGGCCAGTGCGCGGCTGCAGGGCCACCTGGGTCTACCCCCCGTCAGGCCCCAGCATGCCAGTGATGTGGGCCAGTCTCTAAGTCCCCAGAGCTTGTTTTTTCTCACAGATAAAATAAGGGTCTCCTAGTCTAGATAATATCTGTTATTCTGTACAACTGTGTTTTGTTTCAAACATGATCGAATGGACCGGTTACCTTTAAAAAGTACTAGCCGAGGAGCGGGTTTTGTCCAGACCTCCAGCTCAAGATTTTTTGAAGTCTTCTCTCGAGTTTCGCCATTGGCAGGAGACGGACGCAGGAAGGGGAAGCCAGCGGTCATGATCATCCAGCCCTGTCTGCCCCCTGGGGCACATCCCTGGCTCCCCGGCTCCTTCCTGGGGAGGCCCCTCTTTAGAGAATGTGACACAGCAGAGATGTAAGGTGGGGGAGGAGAGATTGAGATTGACAGCCAAGCAGCTCCTGTAAATAAACTCCTTTCCTTGGCTCTCATCAAGAAGATTAGAATGCTTTGTAGGGTCAGACGGCTCCTTTCCAGTCATTTGGCTCTCCGCACTTCTGGTTGTGGGATATTCTCTCGAACAGAGCTGACGTCTCACTCTGTGCTTGTCTGCGGTGTCTTGCCCTCTCTCCCCCGCCTCCCCCAGAGGTTTGCCCCTCAGGAGCACAGCTCGATTGCTCCCAGGAGTTAAACTTGTTTGGCCAGTAATTCCCCGAGGGCATTTGACTTTGACACTAAGAGTCTCCGAGCCCTCAAAGGACTCAGTCTAGTTCTTCCTGCTTCTGCATCGTACGCTTCTTAGAGAATTGGAGGCTGAAGCTGGCGAGGATAATTTATTGAGCAATGAGATCACTAAAATTTGGGCCAGTAACAAGCCCTTCAGCCAGATATGTGAGGCGCTGGAAAACCTTGATGCCGAATTTGACCTTGAGACACATTCTGCCCTTCGCTGTATACGGGTGTCCGTTACTATTAAAACACAGGTTTTGCTTTGTATTCACATTTTTTTCCTCCTTAACATGTTCCCCTCATGTTTATATGTGTACATATGTATCTGTACATACACATACATTCATGTGGGACTTCCATGGCATTACGAAGTGGAAAGCAACAATACTGCCCATCTTTGGGAACCTTTCGATTTTTAAAATTGTAAATAATGTTGTCTCCCCATTTAGAATTGGACTTTCAAGCCACCGACTAGGAAAAAGCCCTGGGGAGTCTCTGCATTTGTGTCAGACTTCACTGCAAAACAGGTACCCCTTGTTTTTGGAAAGCATGACAAAGCGTGTGTTAACCTTACTCATCTGGTAAGGGCTCCTCGTGCACGGCTGAGGGGTCGCTCCCACGGCGTGGGACCCATGTGGCTGAGCTCTGTCAGGACGGCGTGAGTCCCCGACAGAGAAGCAGGTCAGGGAGCAGGGTTGTGGAATTTCTCAGTCTGTCCAGGGTTCTCCGGCCACCAGAGAAAGCACTGTGACCTAGACCCACGGTCGCAGGTGCCAGAGACTCCACTTGTCCCCCACCGAGTCACCACGCTTCTCTTCCAGCTTCCTCCCCCTTCCAGGCGGGCGGTGGCTTTTCCTGGAGACCTACAGTGTCTCCTTTCCTTCCGCGCCCAGAGCCCCTGCGTTCTGACCCTCTGCCTTCAGGTCCTTCACTTCTTGCGTTCCCGCGTGGTGCTGGGTGCGGGATGCTCTGGGGGAGTCCCTGCCCTGTTCCTTAGCGTGCATTCAGACTCCTTCGTAATCTGGCCCTGGTCTGTCCCTGCCTCCTCTCTGACCCCTCGGCTCGTTTCCCCAGAGCTCATGTCACTGTGCTTTCTGCCCCTCAGTGCGAGGGTTGAAGTTCCTCCAGGGAGAAGAGTCCATCCCCCCGTCATTCATCTTTATGCCCCACTGGGGTACCGAGGCTGCCAGACAGAAAGCGCTCATTTACGTTCGTGTGTTCCTTCACTTTGTCTTTACTGAGCAAACTACCGGTGCTGGGCGCTGCTCCCGCCCCCCGGGGTGCTGCCCTGAGTCCTCCTGGAGCTCACGCTCTGGCGAGGGTGAAGCAGACACTCCGAACGAACGAATGAGGCCCGGCAGTGTTCAGGGAAATGGAGAGAATTGAAGCCGTGTGCCGGCCTCCGTGCTGGGGGTCGCGGGGAAGGGGTGCTGTTTGATACGGGCACTCAGGCCTCTGAGAGGTGACCGTTGAGCAGAACCCGGAGTCCAGGTGTGTGGGGCAGGAGCCGTCCAGATGGGAGAGGTGAGCACGGAGGCCCCGAGGCACAGCCAAGGGTGCGTGTGGTCCACCGAGCGGAGAGGAAGCGGTGACGCGGGAGGTCAGCAGGGTGTGGGCGGCGGACCCGCGAGAGGGCAGCGAGGGCCGCGGGTGAAGCGCTGGGATACTGTTCCAGGCGTGGTGGTGGGTTGTCATGGGAGAGTGATATGATCGGGTCAGTATTGTTTAGGAACCGCTCTGGCTGCAGTGTAGACACGGACAAGCCAGAGTGGCCGGGGCAGCCGGCGGGATGCCACTGCAGCCGCCAGGAGGGACGATGGCTAAGACTTGACAGGACGTCTGAGGGCGTCTTATGCTGGGCCAGTGGGGACGGATGGCTGGCTTCGGGTGCATTTGGGGTTCCCTCTGTTTCCCAGCCACAGGGCTAGCTGCCACTGCAGAATTTCTCATAGGAGATTTTGGGGTCTCTCTGTGAATCCTGAATTTTCTACAGAATTGAATGAGGAGATCGAATTCACTAATGGGAGTTCCCATAACCTTGCTTGAATATGTTTTACTTCAAAGTCCAGTCACGTTTGTATCCCAGCAGCTGTTTTCTCCTGTGGCTACTTTTGGATGAGACGGTTGCCTAAAGGGAGTCGCGTAAGTCTGTCGGGTTTGCAGGTGGGGACAGTTTAAGGACGAGTTAAGTGTTGCCAGATGTATCGGCCCGTTGGCCGAGAGGAAAGGGAGCCGCTGGGTAGCTGAGATGCAGAGTGGAGTCGAGTCGAAAAAGCTGAGTGGTCGAGGCCCTTGGGGCCCAGTGTAGAACATTCCGGCATAAACGGTGCAAGGAATTCCAGAGACCACAGCCACGGAGTAGGATTTGGAAGTCGATGGTGTCCCAAAGGGAAGGAGGAGCAGAAGCGGGGAATGGTGCTCGCAGACCCGCTGAAGAGCTGCCACGACCTCTCTGTCTAGAGGAGCTTCTGGGGCTGTGCTCCTCTGCGGGAAGGAGCCCGTGCAGGCTCCCTGTGTGGCTTTTCCGGGGTCGTGCTCTGAGAGCACAGACGGGCACCCTGGGTGGCTGGTGGCAGTGTGTGTGTTTCACGCTCAGAGACCACTCTGGGAAGGACTTGTTTTGTCTTTCATCCTTGATGAACGCTCTGGCTTTGAGGCCCTTGTTCAGCAGGAGGGTATCTGCCAACCTAAGGACGTGGGACAGCATCACCTCTCCCCTGCAAGAGGGGTCTCGTTTCCCACAGTGCCCCTGTGCTCGCGGGCAGCTGCTGCCATCTGATGCGGACTCGGCTCGTGTGGGCTTGTGGCTCACTCCTCCGCAGGCTGGGCTGGCTGGGAATGCTGGCTCGTTCCTTTTACCCCGTTTTAACTCCATGACTGTTCACAGTAAGCGGATTGGATCAGAGGACTCCTGACTCTCCTCCTCTGATCCCCGAGGCAGTTTAGGACATGGTTACTGTCTGCCTCATCCCTGTTGTTTTCAGGTCTCTGATGGCTGCAGTCAAGTTCTTCACAGCTCAGGGTGTGGCGCCCCTGACCGGAAGCTGGCCGTCCTGCTCCTGTGCAGTGGGGGCCATTCCTCACGCTCTAGGGGAGGGTTGCCTTTACTGTAAATTGACCTCGTGCTGAGGACCACGAGGCTGGTCTGTCGTGGGGCGTCAGGACGTCTTTACGTTCGGTTGTCGATGGAGAGTGATCGAGGGCGAGGCAGCAGCACTGAGCGCAGCAGAGCGCAGGGGTCGTCTTCTGGCGGGTCTCTGTTCGGCCTTTGGGGACATGTGGCTCCTTATTTGACAGGTCAGCTGTCGTGTTCCTCAGTCACACTTCTCCACTGAAGACTGCTGACCAGGAGTGCCCAACCTTATTTTCTAGCTTTCTGTTTCCAGCAAGTTCTCTCCTCCTTTGATTCTGACACCTGACCCCGTGCCTCTCCCCCACCCTCCCCCCACCCCCGCAAGCCATCTGGGCTGAGATCCTGTTTCCTTTCCTTCTCTGGGGCCTTTCCCTGTCCTGTTATCTTCCTTTGTGACCCTGACCTCCCAGGCTTGTGCAGGCCCCTGCTCCCGCTCCTTCTCCAGGGTCGTCATCCATCACCAAGGAAGGAGCGTTACTCCAGGAGCTGGGTGAGGGGACTCACTCCCCTGCTCGTCCCCTGTCTCGTTCCCACAGTAGCTGGCAGGTGGGCTCCTCTTATTTCCTCATTTTTACCAGGTTGGATCTCAAGACCTACATGCTAGTCTAGGTCCCAGGAATTGTAGGGAAACTGGATTCACCCTGAGGAGCTCCCTAAATTCAGGAACCACAGCAGTTTAGGTTTGAAGTTAATGGAAACATTCTAAGAGGCTTTCAGCCGAGACTCAGGAGAAAGGGGGAAAGAGCAAACAGAAAGGTACATAGGGACAATACACATTTTCATTTGTTAATTTTTATTTATAACACTGGAGAAAAGGAAGTCCCAGCAGCTTCCCCACAGGCAGTTTAGATGAGACACAAAAAGGAAACAAAAGTTACCTGTCATGTTGCCAGACATAAACAGTGGGTTCGTAACCTTTTTAATACTTTCCTGTGCACGCTCAGATATGTATAATATATATATGACTGTGGGTTTTGTTTGGTTTGGTTTTTTTAAATGCGGAGCCTGATGCGGGGCTCGAACTCACGACCCTGAGATCATGACCTGAGCTGAGCTAAGAGTTGTACTCTTAACCGAGTGAGCCACCCAGATGCCCCTATACGAGTGTGTTTTTAAATAGTATTATATTTGCCTTCTACTTTATAGCATACCCAGGGATGGCCTCTTTCCCTCCTTCTCTTAAAAATCCATTAGGGATGATCTGCTGTAGAAGTCGTCATGTCTGTCCCCCACCGGCCTGTCCTCATTGCGATGGAGGCAGCCACGTGCTCGGTTACGCGGTAAACCCTGCTGGTGTCAGATCACCTGGGCCTCGGGCTGCTCACTTTCCTGAGCGAGTTGCTGAATGAATGTGGTGGCACAGCTTCCTCCCCTGGGAAATGGGGGTCCTGCGGTAGCATCTGTCTCAACGTTGTCACGCACATGGAGGGAGGTAACATGTAAGGACGTGCCCGACAGCGTCCCACCACACGCCCTTTTCAGAAGTGGCATCCCTGCCCTTCCTCGCTCTCAGGCCTGACCCCCCATTCTTGACATTAGGGGCCTGTGAATCCCACCGGGGCTCCTGGCCATCTCTGTTGCTGCCCTCGGTCTCCACTGTCCCCAGGCCGGGCAGGAGCCTCCTGCCAGTCACTGTGCCATTTGTCAGCTCAGCAGAACACCCGTGTCACTCTCTGAGTAAGTTGGTGGATGTCCCCCTTCTCCCAGCACATACAGCTTAGAGGCCAGAAGGCTGGTGGCGACTGGGGAGGTCCTGCCAGATCCTGGGTTGTCAAGCACTCTGCCCTTCCCCCTCCTCATGCTCAGCAGACGTGCACATGCTGGCCTCTGTCTGGAATGTCGTCCCGTCCCATCCTGTCATCATCACCTGCCCCCCCGGCCCGTGACAGCCTCGCTCAGTTTTGCCGTTTGCTCTTACCTAACACGCTCCGTGTTTACTTGCTTACCTGGATTAAATGTAGATCATAACATCTACATTTATTACTTACTTACCTTGGTTATTGTCTGCCTCCTCCACGAGCAAACTCGCACCACGGTTCTGTCTCCATTGTGCTCCCCTATACTGCCAGTGCCCACAGTGATGCCTAGCGCCCGTGTTCTTATGACATGAGTAAACAGGTTATAGCAGCAGCTCGCGTCGCATGAGTGTTGCCCTGTGCTAGTTACCGGGCCTAACATTCAGTAAGTGTTCGCCACTGCTGCTGCTAGATGTGCTTATTACGGTTTTTGAAACCCTCTATGAAAATGAGAGCGTGTTACTTTTCAGGCTAATCCGTTAGCCCAGGGCAAACATGAATTGTTGTGTTCGCTAGCAGTGCGAACCAGCCCCTGAGTTAGGTTCTGGTGCAGGAGAGATCTGGCGGTATGTGTACGTCTTTGCATCACGTATGTACA